ACCTGAGCGGGTGCTGCTAGGAGTGGGCGCAAAGTAACTCCATGGACGCTACTCACCCCCCCCCCCAAAATATAGCCTCCAACTGCGATGGCCGCTGTCGGCACCATTCACCAACCCCCTGTGTATGTTTCTGTTTCTTTTTAAACCAAGACTTCCTTGTGATCTCTTTAGAAAAAAAAATGTGTTGGGGTGGGGGTGGGGTGGGGGCGGGCAGGAGGAGCAAGGGAGGGGGAGTAGCTACTTTTTTCTTATTCACTCGGATCTTCGCTCCCGACACCCCCCGCCGCCCCCCCTCCCCCGCCGCCCAGTTGTTTGGCTCTGGCTGCAGGTCCAGGTAGCGTTGCGGGCCCCGGGGGGAGGGTACCCTGCCTGGCCGCCCGCCTGCCCGCACCCTGGGCTCGGACTCCCCATGGACTCTAGGGTGCCCCTAGCCCGCCCTGTCCCCAGGGCCAGGCCCGAGCGGCGGCTGCGCCCAAGCAAGTCCCATCAGGTCTGCTCACACTTCACACACTCACACACCCCGCCCCTCCACTCTCTCACTCACACTTTCTGCTCACACCCCGCCCCCTTCGCGCCCCAGACCCGGGCGGCGCCCCCCGCAACCTTCAAAAAAAAAAAGAAAGAAAGCTTATACTTAAAAAAATCTTTTGGCGCCATATTAATGACGTACTTAAAATTTGCCATTTCTCCCTGCGTCAAAAAGACGTTTCTTTGCAAATAACAGCCTGGAGGCGACACTCGCGGAGCGAACGAGGTTTGCACTGAGCACCCCGCCCCCTAGGGCTCCAGCTCTGGAAGACCCTCGCCCTAGGCCTTCTTTCTGAATCGCAGGCTTTAAAATGCGAATCGAATAAATCGCGTGGCGTCTTGCAGCGCCAGAAGTGAGCAGAAAGTGTTGGCAGCAAGGGAGGGGAGGGGCGCGCGAGAGCCTGGGGGAGGGGGCGCGCCCCTCCCCCCTATAGAAACTAACATCTTGGGCGGGGGGAAACTTGAAATTGTGGGCGATCTCAAGAAAAGAGGGGCGGTCGGTAGAGAGGGTCCCTATTGGGCTCGTTGCCCCCTCCCCCTCTCTGGTGCCTTCTGGCGCCTAGCGCTGCCCCGCATTTCCGGGGGTTGGGGAACGCAGTGATGAGTGGTGGGTGGGTGGGTGGCTGGGCTGCAAGTCATATCTTCAATAGGATGTTGCCCCGGGGCAGCCCCTTCCCCCTGGCTAATCTCTCCACTACCCCTAAAGGGTTAAAAACCGAGGGGCAACTTCCAAGGGCTGGCACATGGCGAGGAAGCGGGGCGCCCCTCTCCCCACCCTTCGCCTTCTCGCCCCTCCTCCTCCGGCTCCACTTCCCGACTTGACCTTGTGGTGCACAAACAGTGCGCTCGGATCCTCGCAGTTTCTGGAAGAGCCTGCGCTCGCCAGCCAGGCGGGCTGTCGGGCTGCTTGCCGGCGGTGGCTGGGCCTTGGGTCTGTTCCCGGAGCCGCGGGCCACACCCACCCAGTCCGCTGCGCCCGCCGTGCTCACCTTCTCTCGAGGAAGGGGAAGGGCTGGTCTCCACCATGGAGAGGCATAGGGGTCAAGCTTCAGCCTCCTCACAATGTCCTTACCTGGGGAAGGGTGGGCTGGCCTCGGGTGCAGGTTGGGGGCGATATTTGGGAGTCTGGCCCAACATCCCCAAACCATCTTGCAAACTTTTTCTTCCCCATCTCTCCTTGCTGTCCCTCAAAGATGATCCAGTAATTTTTTAAGCTCACCTTTGGCTTTGGAGGCATGTGGGTGCGATGTGAATAAGAACAGGAGTTGCCTTCCCTCTCCAAGACTGAAGGTTGTTTTTTCTTCCTTTCCCCTCCACCCCCTTCTATAGAAAGATAAATATTCGATTTACATAAGATGACATTTATGTGACAATTAAGAAGATTCCCCGATGGAATGTTGTGAACACATTTGCTTATAGGAGGAATAAACCTAATAATAAACAAACTCATAATAACAGCACAAATCCTCCGACAGGGCGGATTGTCTGCCCAACAAAGAGGGAGATGATGGATGCTGAAATAAGCACTTTTTGCAAGAAAGAAATATGAGCTCAAAGGGAATCACTGCAACATTTCTCTTCTTTAGTGTTCATTCACAAAGTCTGAGGAGACTGGCGAGAGGAAGGACTGGGTATCACTTCCCAATTAAACCTAGCTCTGGCTGTCAGTGGTCAACTAGTAGAATTTTTTTCCCAAACCAAGCTCAGTGTCTTCAAACAGGTGTCCAAGACTGGGAGTGTATAACAAGATGGTTAAATATTGGGATTCTAATCCTGCCTTCACAGTTCAGAAACTGTATGAATTGATCTCTCAGATTCTCTTTTTCCTCTTGTGAAATGGAGTGGTTAGAAGGTTCTTGAGGCCATATACATGGGTACACGTATGTATATATGTACATACACGTGCCATATGTATAAAGCAGGGCCTGGCTCAGTGTGGACAGTGGACATTAGCACTCTGCCTGGCACCTAAGTTTTTCTGAAAGAATGAAAGTCCCCTCTGAAAGCTCTTAACACTTG